CTATCCATATATCCACACATCTATCCATTTATCCATCCATCTGTCTGTCTATCTATTGATCTGTCTGTCTGCCTATCAATCGATCATCAGTCCTTATGTCTATCTGTCTGTCTGTCTCCATCAATCGACCATCAGTCCATATGTCTGTCTGTCTATCTGTCTGTCTGTCTATATATCATCTGATTGCTTATCTGTCTATCTGTCTATCTATCTGTCTATCTATCCACAAATCCACCGATTCATCCATCCATCCATCCATCTATCTGTCTGTTTGTCTGTCTGTCAGTGGTCTACGATTCAATTGTGTCTATCACCCTCCAAGTCAATGGCGCTACCATCACCTCTACCTCACAGGCTCACTGCCTGGGTGTTCTTTTTTACTCCAACCTCTCCTTCACCCCCCATGTCCAATCAATCGCCAAATCCTGTTGCTTCCATCTCAAAAACATAGCGCACCTCCGCCCCTATTTAACCCCGGATGCGGCTAAGGTGCTGGTCCATGCTCTTGTTCTCTCTCGCTTGGACTACTGCAATACCCTTCTCAGTGGTCTTACGTGTTCCCAGATTGCACCGTTGCAATCTATAATGAATGCGGCGGCGAGGCTCATTTTCCTGTCCTCTCGCACCTCCCACGCTTCCCCACTCTGTCAGTCCCTGCACTGGCTTCCAGTTAGATATAGGGCTCAATTTAAAATTCTGGTGCTTTCTTACAAGTCCCTGCATAATGCTGCTCCAACCTACCTATCCTCCCTAATACACAAGTATGTCCTGTCGAGGCCCCTACACCTTGCCAAAGACTTACGTATATCCTCTGTCCGTACTCCCACCAATAACGCTCACCTCCAAGAATTTTCCAGGGCTACAGCTTTTCTGTAGAACTCCCTTCACTCCTCCGTAAGAATTTAACCCAGTCTCCACTCATTCAAAAAATCATTGAAAACTCACTTCTTCAGGATAGCATATGAATTAAACTGTTAGCAGGTTTTTATCCTTCACCCTCCATGACTCCTCTCCTGCAACTGTCAAAAATGACCTACTAAGCCCTCAGTGAATACTTTTCTAACAACCTACTTCGTACCTCTACTTTTACCCTTTGTGTCACTATACCCCACTCCCTCTAGAATGTAAACTCATTGAGCAGGGCCCTCCACCTCTCTGTTCTTGTACATCCAGTTTTCTGGTTACAATTACATGTCTGTTAGTCCACCCATTGTACAGCACTACGGAATCTGATGGCGCTAAATAAATAATAAAATAATAATAACTAAATAAACCTCATTGTTTCTAACAAATTCAGCTTAAGTTTTCCTAACGTACTACTGAAATAATGAGTTCATATTGTTGTGCTTCTCTTTGTAATAATGTAAAGTTTATATACTCTATATTAACATTATTATATTACTGCTGTGCGGTCTGCAAGAACATAATGACAACAATTTCACTATATCTTATTTCTGCAGAAGACCTATAATTATACTATTTAGAAAACAACTATTCTTTTATTTTAAAATATTCCCTAGGGTATTACTAAGAGTTTTTTTTAGTTTTTGTTTTTAAGGTATTTATAAATTGAAATCATTGTTAGTTAAAGTACATTTTTTTTAGAGAGAAATAGTATTAAAAAAAAAAGTATAAGTGGTTTATCAGTTGGCATTTATGCAATAATACTAGGCATCTACTAGCAATCTGCGGTCTATTTTGACATATCACGCAGGCTCATATAACAGCATCCCAGATAAAAATAAGAGTCTGTGTATACTGATGACACAGTGTGCTAGTATTGTTGTGAGATCCTCGCTGACATAGCAAATTGAATGAGAGAAATTATACAGGAAAATGTGTGACAGTACAATTTACAGTTTTCCTTTTTAATGCAGACTTCGACAGTGTGTATGAAAAAATAATAATGATAATAATGTTGAGGGTTAGCTTTCACACTGAGCTTCATTTCAGAGAAAAGTGCCTTATTTTTTCATTGTGCTAGAGGTGGTATATAATTTTGTAGCGTATACTTTATACAGAAATAAACAATACAGATGGTAAATGATGTTCTCTAATTCCATCATTCCATGAAATTCTAAATGGAAGAGGTTCTTTTTTTTATGGTAGACTTGTGAGTGGCAGACATTTTCGGATTGCCTGAATGAATTCATATGAAAATAAATTTAGTTTCATCCATTAGGGGATTTGTTTTGGACAAAATTTTCCCAATGTTTTCATTTGGGGATTTCCATTCAGACGAATGAAATGCCACTATCACCGGCAATTCTTTCAGCAGTGTAAGACTAGTAGATAAGTCCTTAATTTGGTACCATTGTGTGAGATTGCTATAAGATCACCAAATCAGGGAGGATGCTGTCTCTCTGCTGACTCTCTCTCTCTCACGGATCGCCTGGCACCCTGACCGGGTACCTCCCTAGTACTTGTGAGTACCATAATCACTGCACTGGAACCCCATAACCACCGTAGACCCCACGAACCGCCACAGCTTGGTTGGGGTCTCGCTGTCCTCCACCCACCCTGGACCCAAGACCAGGATGCAGCTTCCAGTGGGTAGACCTCTCCTAGTCCAGAAAGCGTAGCAGGAACAAGGGACAAACTGCAGCCCTTCTGCCCACAGTTGCCGTGGCTTGATTGGGGTCCTGGAACCGCTCCTTCCTGGAGCTGAATGGGAAATTAGCTCTGACACCTCCAGGCACTAGACAACACTCAGTCCTGGGAACTCTGAAACCAGATGGTGAATTAGCTCTAGTCTTTACAAAGACTTTCCCAGTTGACTCTCCTGCAAGCTGGAACAGCAGACACAGGAGCAAATCTTCTTTCCCTCCAATAACTGGACGACAAACAGTTTTATACAATTTTCCCAATAAGGTTGATGCCCAGGTGGACCTTGTGGGGTACAAGACACAAAACATGCAAGCCAATAAAAACAGTGTAACAATTAACGACACTCCCACATACATTACATAATCCCTCCCCTCTGCCTGTGATATAATTAAGGTAGATAATACAATAACCTAATTATCCACAGACCGAAAAACACACATTTTCCCCAAAGTACAGAAAACACCTCAAAACATAACATATCCCCATAATATATTATATTACATCCCCTGATAGCCCTGATCTGGGTGAACAACATATCAAAAAATCACCCAGATCAGAGCAGGGGTTCAGGAAATTCCTGGAAGTCTCTTTTGACTGACCGCACACATGATTTCATGCCCAAAACAGTTCGGGAGAATTAGGCTGTGCGGCTGTTCTATTTCGGAAGTTTGCAAACGAACAAACAAACGAACAAACTACCGAAAGGAGTCAATAGTCTTACCCTGGAGCTTGTTTCCTTCATCCAGACGAATGATCTCACCGAACAGTACCTTTCTAAGCGGAATAGAAATTAATGCAGGTGACGATGGAGTTCCTCGGTGTTCGGGAGTTTCTGTATCCGATTTCAGTTCCATGAGATTCATGCCCAAACACCGCTGCCTGCACTCATGCAAACAAGATGGCTGCCACCTCGTGGTTGTTCATAGGAACAATTAGAACACTGCGGTGAGAAACGTTCCAAGTTGTTAATAGGTGTTAACAAGCCCCAGGGTGGTCTCTGTTCGTGCGGTTGTTCGGTAAACTAACTATATAGTCCCAATTGCACAAACAGAGCCTGTTTAAGGTATATTAACCAATTATGTTGCAGGGGCCATAGTCACAGGGTAAAAGGCTGGCAAATAGTCCCCTCCAAGAACTTGTGGCAAAGTCACTTGAAAGGGGGAGTTTGTCACACTCTCTAATTTGGTATCCTTAAATGTGTGGATTACAAAATGACTTTTCCTGATTTTAGTCCTTAAATGTTAGTACCCTGATTTGGGATTGCCTTATTGAAGGATACCAAATTAGGAAGGCAGCTGTGTTTATTAGTAGATAGAGCTATCTTAATTGCTATCCATCAATTTATCAATTCAAAGTAATGCTACCAAATTAGGGAGCTATCTACTAAACATCTAAAGACCACAATTAAAAAAAGGGCTGTTTGAGTTGTTTACTAGATTACTCCCTAAATCAAATTGGTATTATTATTATTAAACTATAAGTGATTGCCATATTTATGTCTACCACTTTAGAGTCTACCAAAAATATAGGACAAGATATACCCATCATCTGTAATTATGTGTATGGACCTAACCAAATACTGGCCCATTTTAAAACAGGATCCTTCACTAACCAATATTTTACCAGACAGACCAAGACACACTTTTAGGGGTGCACCAGATATGAGACAGTTATTGGTAAAAAATCATATTAAAAAGGTACAATCCACGACGTTTTTGGATAAGGGAGATGGTTTCTATGGGTGTGGAATATGTCTAGCCCGTAGAAACACACATAACAAAAAAAGATACATAAAGAAGTTTAACAACTCCCAACAAAATTAGGAATTTCAGATAAAAAAAAAATCACGTGTTATTTTGTTAACACAATAGATTTGATGGAGTGCCCATGTGGTCTGAAGTATGAAGGATGCTCCAAAATAAATCTTCATATACGGATAGAAGAACACATCAAAAGTATTAAAAAGGGCTATGAAGGGGGGCGGGGCCGGACCGCCGAGCTGGACGGTCGCACATGAGTTCAGCTCCTGCAATACACCCACAAATATGCTTAAAAATATGGAAAATGACCTTACTACTGACCGGCAGCAAGGGTCTTCAGAACCACGAAGTTACCGGATCCTGGGAGAGGCTGGCTACCGGAGCTACAGTCCCCAGGAGGTGAAGCCCGCAACGAACAAGTTGGGGCCTACGCCGGCGGTGAGAGGGACAGACGGCTGCTGCCCCACTATCCCGCCTAATGGTACGAAGCCGGAGATCAAGACCCGGGCGGTCCTGGCCCTGTCCCCCCCCCTCTGGACCGGCGGGGGTGATCCCGGTCCTCACCCAGAGGCCACACATCCAGGGTCCAGAGGTACTACCACCCCGCTCAAAGGCCTGAACACGACATCCAAGATGGCGGATGCCATGTGCGCTGGGGCCGGGGAGAGAGAGTGCGCCCTCGCAGGGAGTAGAGCAACAAACTGGGTCTCTGGACAAGAGCCCAAGGGGCCAGAAGAACTCAAGCTCCTCACACTAGACACCGCAACCCCACAAGCGACTACTTACCAGCCCACTACACGGAACTCGCCAAAGGCGAACAGCGGAGGAGGCCTAGCCCGAGCCACAAGGGCAGCGGAACCAGCCCACACTGCACCCGACCTTCCACCGCCAGAGACTGCCAACCTCGCAACAGACCAAGGAACTCCCACAGCAAGGCCGACAACATTCATCGGCGGCCATAACAGCGGTCTCATCCAGCAGCCAACTGTATCACACAGTGCCCAAACATCCGTCCTGACAGGCGCTCACCTCGGGAAGTCCAGAAGAGGTACCCATGGCCAGCCGGAGAAGCAGCCCAAAAGATACCAACGAGCAACACAGCAACACTCCTGGAGGGGCGCTGCTTGAACCCCCGCACCAGAGGACACTCGCTCCCGGCCGCACGGACCCGCCGAGCCGAAAAGCCCTGGAACGCAAACCAACCCAAGAACTCTAATCCAGCCAGGGTGATATAATGTTCATACAAACACCATTTAACACTAGCATGTCTACATCTTAAGTTCTATAGTACAGCATACCGTTAAACTTACTTACTAACAGCCTTTGGAAGCACCTATGTTAATTAGTGTCCCATCCCTAATGTTTAATCTAGGTTATTAGACAAGCCATTAGTAAAACGACTGAGTATTGCACTCCTCACATACTCATTCAATTATAATAGGCTTAGCATAACAAGCCACCTCAATGCCTATTTTGGACCAGTTAGCTGTGTAGCACTATTCAGACCAGCCATGCTGTTAGAATATGCATTTTATTAAGTTACTCTCACAAAACCCACTACGTTTCATTCAATGATGTTACTACCTGTCACTTTGGTAACTTACAACTCGATGTATGTTTATCCTCAAAAATACAAAATGTGCCAATAACCCTATGCCATCTATGTGAATAATCTTGCTTTAATGGGCTTGTACTATGCTGTTGTGGCATTGTCAGCTTTTATGTTATCTAGTGCACAATAAAAATAAAGAATTAAAAAAAAAAAAAAGGGCTATGAAGGACATATGAAGGCGTATCACAACATTTTAAGACACAACATGATAATAATGATAAGGGACTTATGGGCATCGAAAAAGCTTTGGGTAATTGTCGAGGCAGAGACTTCATGAGGAAATTTGGTCAACAAGAAATTAAGTGAATATTCAACCTTGGGACTTTACAACCCCAAGGACTGAATATCGACTTTGATGTATGCCATTTCATTTAAAACTATACATTTGTTCTAGCTATGTACATATTTTATCATTTTATATGTTTACACACATGTATCATAATTATTATTATTACATTTTATCAATTTTACCTTTGGTCAATGTCACGTGCGTGGGCTATAGGCCCAGCCGAGACAGTGGGGAGAGTGTGGAAGTGACAGGGTTAATGACACCAGACCCCTGGTTACCTGTTGCTAGTCCCAGCAACCACTCAATTAACCCCTGCAATCCCTTCTACACTATCCCCCTTAGTACATACTACTGCCACCACCAAGACTTTTAAACCCGGGCGTCTTAGGTTACCCCACACACAGGAGAATTATAGTATCACAGTTCTACTTTTACTGATAAAACATATATAGTTAACCCTTTTTGGTAACGTGTTTACCTGAGCTTTCCTCTGGAGAGTGAAGCTCATAGAGAACAGAGACACAAGCTGATTAAGTAAACATTTAATCTGACAAAAGGATTCACAGTGCTGAGTACAAAATACAGAAATAAATGACATACAGATAACAAATTGCAAAACAGTACATAAAATAAAATAGGAGAAAACACAAGAAATTCCTTACATGTAGTTACCCCATGTAGAATTCTTGTGGGAGTCTTAGATGGTATAGGTCTCCTAGAAGTTGCTGACAAAAGAAAAAATGAATAACTGGATAGTCCAACACCCTCATATATCTAAACTAGTTGTTTCTCAGTGGGCAGGCCCCTGGGGGGGGATCAGAGGGGGTTGGTCTGGCAGTCTACTGCCCACTCTATGAAATTCCTTGTGTCCAGCTCTGGTGATGGCTATCTAGATGTTTTATGGTCTAGGCCTGGTGCAAGATCAAAGACCACAATAAATGTCATCCCAAGGTTTACAAAAAACAACAACTCTTAACATATATAAACACACATCAAACACCAACTCATGCTTTTGGCATGACAGTCAATAATTATATTATCTATGTAATTATGCTCTTAACATCCATTGATTTATATATATATATATCTCGTTAAGGTTATGCATGCTAATTTTTGCTTTAGGTACAGTATCTAAGATACGCTTACACCTCTTAATCTATTTGGTAGAGCTTTTTTTATTTATTACATTCAATTTATTTATGTTTCTATTATCATTTTTTATAATTTTTTATGTACCTGTTTATATATTTCTCTATTTCACCTGTTTTTTTTTAATCTTTACCCTATCTTTACTTTTTTGTGCTTTTACTTTTTACATTTCCACTTTTATCTCTTCCAAATTAGGTAATTTGTATTATTATTTATAATTCTTTCTCTGTATTATTCTCTTCCCTTTGTTTTCCCCACTTCGTTCTCGGCAAAGTTGGGCCGAGAATGGGGCTCCCCGATTAGTCTGGGGGTAGGCGGGCAGGGAAATGATGGGTGGGTATCCTGCCGGTGGGTGGAGTCACATGCGTAGTGGCACACAATACAGACTCCACCCACTTTGGCTGACGCGTGTGTGCGACCCCTCTCAGCCTCTGTACTGGGGAAGGGGCAGCCCCACAGTGGGAGGAGGATGGGGAGGTGACGGCCATGAGTTAGTTGGCGGATATGGCGAGCGGAATTACTACACCTCTCTTTCTCTGTCTTTATTGGAGGATATATCTCTATGAAGGAGTGGTGTAAGAGCATAAGAGCCTGATATATACGGAGCCAATACATATAGGCTCCGCTACATGTGAGTGGTCTGATTTTATGCAATTTAATCATTGGGATATTGTTACCATCTACACTATATTTGTATTCTTTCTTTTGTTTTTCATGCACTGAATTTTGTACTGTATATACCTGTTATAAACAGGGGTAAGTAATTCCACTTACTTCCCTTATCCTTGCACTTCAGTGCTCCACTATAGATACAAGTGTAAGTTGTACCGTTAGAAGGTGTTTACAAATTGGAGCATTATTAGGTAGATAGCTCCGTTAGTTGGTCGCTTTAAATATATCAATCCCAGAAGAGGATAACAAATTAAGGAGCTTTTTACTACGCAACTGAAAAATCTAAATTAAGTAAAAACATTTTTTTTAATTTTGGTCTTTCGTTTGTTTAGTAGATAGCTCAGTAATATAGTATCCATTGAGGAATTGCCACATTTAATGATACCAAATAACAGAGGTATTTACCAAACAGCTCGGAGACTCTGTATCCACTATTCAGACAACGGAAAAACAAGAAGCTTCATTCCCCCCTCTCCCAGCAACTTTCAGGTATTGAGTGAAGCTTGGAAGATGTTCCACCTCAGTTGTTCTACTCACTGTCACCATGTTATTATTGTTTTTACCATATCAATGTAACTGTTTGTACATCTAGTTACCACTATATTTTTTTTACATGCAGTTTCTCATTTCTATTTTCAGTGAATGTATTTCACCACTATTTCATGTATACATGGATTTTGGATGACAGAATTTGGTCAGCAACTTTTTCAATTGTATCCAGCATGCTTAGCCCTCTCTTTCTGTTTTCCTTACCTCTCCAAACAATAAATACTACACTGGTGCAAAAATATGTTTTGGCTGGTTCGTCCAAATCAAAATGCTTTTAATTCACGCCAGAACAAATAGTTTTACCTTTAAGGTTTATTCACTGACTGTGTTTACGAGGTCTGAAAGAATAACCCTGAATCTAGAAATCTTCACCCTTTTCTGTCTTTTAAAAAAATAAATTTTAGTAATTATTTGATTAAAAGCAAACTTGAACATCCTTAGTGTATAACATACTTTGGAATTAGTCTAGTAATCTTTTTGGTCTGGTTAATGAGCCTAATGTCAGTCTAAGGCTCAAGAGAACGTGGGCTGATAGCATTTTGAAATGCTTCTACGTGTCGATGATTGCAATTATTACGATACATTTCACCATTCCTCCAAAGTGAGCATTACTGAGCTGAATGCTTCTATCTTTTTTTAGCAAATGAGTGTTTTGTATTTGGCTCCTGGAATATGAATGATTAGGAAGTATAAATATTTAAGCTTAATTAAAAAAATGCTTGAATCGTATATTGAACATTTTACATTTTTTGACAGTAACCAATAGTAACCAACTGCGCTGCAGACTAATGGGCACTGCGATGCATTATGCTTGGAATGTTGAGTGATGTATCAGCCAAAGCAACAACTCATAAGGCTTTTTTCATCTGTAATAAATATTTTTTGCACGCAGTGAATTCTTTTGCATAAGTTATAAAACTCTTTACCTGCACTATATATTGAAAATCAAAAAAATACATTTACAGATTTACAGCAGAAAATTCGACAGGTAAATGGGTTCTACATTGCATGCAAAAAGGCATTGACAAAGTTAATTATTAATTAAAAAGTAGTGTTGTACAATAGGTGGACTAAAGCCAAGTAGTTATTACAAGACAAGTTGAAGGTACCAGAACAATAGGTTGTGATGGCCCTGCTCAAACACTTGCATTCTAAGAAGATTAAGGTATTATTGCATAAAAAGTTAAATTAAGATAATATGCATTCTCATAGACTGAGTAGCCATCACAGCAGGATGTTGTAATTTCTCAGAATACTTTTTTTAGTTCATACGATACCATGGTTTAATGACCACACAACAGTTCAAGCAGTTCCACTGTTCAGGGCCGATTGCTCTTGACATTGGGTCAGTAATTACTGGTCATCGGATTTATTGTCATTCTTACAAAATGTTTCATAATCAGGACTGCCGGGTTATTCACTAATCCATGATATTTTATGACTTCATCCAAGAATTAAAACTTTTATTCAGACATACCTGCAAACAGCAAGTTGGTGTGTCAACAACGCCTTGATAAGGTTTAAAAAATTATGTTGAGACAATGCTACAATCTGACATTTCTTCAGGTTTTTACAAATGTTCTTCTTTGGATTCCGTTGGGTTCTACCATAATCTTTGTTAAGGAGAAAGCTGGGCTATTGGTGGTTATTGCAGGTGGTGGTATACTGAAATACCTTCAATAAACTGATTGCCTCCATCTAGGCTCTATGTCAGTCACTATCATAGAATTCAGTGCTAGTTTAGAGCTATGTGTGCGTAGTTTATATTCTAAGAACTATTTTTAAAATCCCTTTTTAATAATACAAACTCTATTAATGCTATATTGTCTTGTTAACTTCAAAGTTATGAAGCCCATC